GACAATGAAGATAGTTAATTCCCTTGGCCTGCATCCATGAGATTATATTAAATTTATCTTCCATTACATGTCATAAGAAAATGAAATATGAAACAGGAAATAAAAAAGTATATAATACACACCACATCCAATGCCATACGTAACCTTCTTCTCTGATCTAACATTTCCCCGGAAGCAGGCCTATGTATGAGCCGATACAGACTACCCCTGTTACAAAAGAACCAGGAAGCTAATATTTTAGCCCATGCATATTGCTTGGGAAATAAATACCAAAAATTTAAATGAGGAAGATAATTTACCTAGGAAGATATTCTGTCACAATTGACAGATAAGGACGCTTTGTGACAGCACCCATGAAGAGAACTACATTTGGATGCCGGATGCGTTTCATTATTGCAACCTTGAAAGAAAGGTAAAAACAATGAGCCACATGGAATCATACCACCACTAACATTATCTAAGAGAACAGTTTGTATATATGATTCAACAGTATTCAAAAGCTTTTATGCGACAGTTAACTGACATTTGCCAGGCATGCCAAAAAATTACCTATACATACCTCTCTTAGAAACTCTTTCAACTGATCATCATGAAAATCTTGAAGGGTTAAAACCTTCACTGCGACATCCTGCAATATAAGAAAGCAGTTAACATGAGGTTAATAGCAATGGTTTATAAGTTCACAAACCCAATGGACATTTTTCAAAAGAACAAATGACTAGATAAGTTAGAAAAGGTCCTTAAACTAGTAATGTCTTAATTTATATGATGTGTCCTCTGGTTATACACCCATAGTTGATGCCTGAGAAGGTGCCTCTTTGGAAGATCAAATGGCTACCCAAGACCCAAAAGAAAAATTTTCCATGAATAAATCAACTAACTGTCAGAAATATTTCAGCGCAACGGAAAAATCCGGAGGCTTAGCCTAATGCAGGAATTTTCCCCAACATTTATTCCCTAGGGCAAGAAACTGGCTTCCTTGTGGGTGCAGGCAGATTATTTTGATTATATCATGGAAACAACATTAAATATACACACACACAAAAACAAACAAAATACTCTTAGCAAGGCCCAACAAATTCACAAGAGAAGGTGCCTGACAAGATGGTAAGCATCGTATATAGAATGATGAAATAAAAATCATATAGCATAAAGACTGAAAGTAGAGCCAGTGCATAGTTTAGCATAAATA